TTATTGAAAAACAGTTGAAATTATTCAAAAATACAATAACGTCTGAACAGTGTTTTCAATGTATATGTATTTTAAGTTTTTAACAATAAACAAGAATAATAATAAGTAATATTATATATAATAACACTAAATAGTTATAGATTTAAATTTAATTCTATTTTCACTGTTGAATGCGTGTGTTATATACATTTTGCTGACCTATGAAAAGATTATAACTTATATTCTATAAAAAAATCTTTTCGTCTATGTGGTTAACATAGTCTAACGTGCTAATCTTATTTTTACGTAAAAAATATTTCTTAGAATCTACATTTAAATTTTAGCATAAACTCTCATAAATCCTAATTTTTGACATTCAACTTATCTTTTATAATTCATAAATGTACGAACGAAAGATTTACGCATTCGTGAATTATTTAATACCTTCTTCCAACGTATATAATAAATACATATTTTGTTTTATATAAACTATATTTATTTAACTTTTAGTTGAATGTGAGATGAATTTTAGCGTAATTTAATTAACATATATCAATATATATATATATATATATTACTTCTCTATACTATTTATTAAAAACAATAATATTCAATGGAAGTAAGTAACCTACTTACAAACTATATATATATACCGATGTAGAAACATTTTCATAATGGATATTTCACTCAAAAATCTTCGTTAGAAGTACAATGTGGTTCTCAACCGAGACATCTGCGCTCATGGGAAAAAGTTATTTCCCACTTTTGCACCAAAATTGAACGGACAAAAATTAATTTTCTTATTATACAAGTCCTCGAAACGTCGTACACCAAAACATACTGCCGTTCTCTTAAATTTAATTAATAAACTCGAAAAAGTGAACAACCCTGTAAACTACCTCTAAAATAATACTGTTTCTAATATCACAACTTCAACAAGAAAACATATGATGAATGTAAAACTCGAGTGTCGTTACATTTGAGACTTATTATCATATTATTGCAGAATTATCGCATTGCATTAAGAATTTGCTCTTATTTCTAAATTTACGTTTGTGTATTCAAGGGAAATATCATTATCATATTTTTCAAATAAAATTATACATTGAAATAAAGAATTATCGTTAATCGAATTTAAACGAACATTTTCCATTTCCTTATACAATAGAAATAATTGAAAATTGCCTATCCAGATCGTCTTATTGACTCTCGCTTCAATCATATTATTAATTTCATGATTAGGTTTATAAATTCCACTGGCTTCCTAATCTAATCAACCGTAAATAAATATATAATTGTTTTCACAATAAACCTATAATCGCGTTGTGCTGTAATATTTTTGACAAAAGAAAAAAATAATTGCAGTATAATGCTGATCGTTTATTTACTAGGTAATCTATAGACCGGCAGGATTTTACAATACGGAAATACTAATGCCAAAAAGCGTATCAATCGACATATACTACAGTTTTTTATTTAATATGTTCGCACTCTTAAAAAATGAAAGTTCAAAAAAACTTTCGCAGCTGTTCGACACTTGTCACTTGTTATAGGAAACGAGGAACAGTTCATTCGTCAACCGTTAAATCGGATTTATTCGAATAAAAACGTTCGACGTGTACGGTGTTTGATGTCACATATGATTCGACTTGAAATCGAAAAAGAGTCAACGGTGATCGCAACGACGACGCCATTGCCAGGAAACGTTTCGAAATCGTACGAGGTCTACTATATCGTCGAATGATACGCGTTGCACACATTATAATGTTACGCGCGAACGTATATAAAAAATAATACTGTGAACGGGGATGTTCGAAATGATCGATTAATTCATGTATTTATTCGACCGTTATTATCGTCGCGGTCACTGTACAACAGACATCTCCCGAGTGTTTCCGAGGCCGTTCGTCGTACGCGCGTGTACAGCGTACGCGCAATCGGCTCTATCGTTCGCGCGGACGAGGGTGCCGACGGTTTCGAAACACTCGGCCGCGGTACGGTTTCCGCGGTCCGACGGAACCCGATAACGCAATAACGCGCGTTTTTGTCCGCGGGGACGGGAACGGTCGTCTCGATGTCCGCAAGAGTTGCCGTTCACGCGCGCGCGTACACGTCCGTGCACACGAGCGCACGGTGTATGCAGACCCGTCGTAAGATATTTTCCACCTTAAAGCGAAAACTGTACGGTCGCTCTTCATTACAAATATTACAAATCGGAATTATAATACGCTGGAATAATTTACAGTCACGTTGAACTGGTGGATAATACGATAATACGATAATAGTACAAAGATACAGTAATCATTGTCGTATACTGTCGATATTTATTAAATTTTGCTACTTGAATTTCTTTAAAATTGTATGCCCCCCCCTCCCATAAAGCAATGCATGACTTGCTCGTACTCTAACGTTCGTGCCCCGTTCGTAACAATTACGCGTCGCGTGCACGTGCGCGTACGTTGCGGCAACGTGTTGTACATTATTATGCACGCAACATCGCGGGACCCCATTAAGCGCGTGTAGCTGTAATAACGTCGCGCGGCCTCGCCACCACCCTCCCCTCCCCCGCGTGCGCGCGCGCGCCCCGCAGTATCCGCGACCCCGAGGCGGCGGCGGCGGCGGCGGCGGCAGCGGCGGTGACGTTAGCCGGCAGCGCGCGATGGAAAAAATAATTTCGCGCGCGCGTGACGGTAGGTAGGGGCAACGGGCGGTGCGGAGAAACGAGGCCGCCGCCGCTGTCGTTCACGCGCGTATTACGTTGACATTTGAAATGCGCCCGTCCGCGCACGTAAGCGCGCACCCGTTGCCGCGACGAACCCGTGTGTTTAGCCTACGAATTAGAGTGAAGCCCCGGGGTCCAAAGGCGGTTTTCAAATACGTCCCGTGTTTACCTATCAAATCTCTCACTCGCTCCCTCTCACGCGCAGTCTCCCCGCCTGCCGTTCCATCTGTATACGTAGCACCACCGGTCCCGGCGCGCTATCCGTTCGGCAAATGGAGCAACGCCCCGCCGACTGCACACCGTTCGTAGAACATCCTTTTTGGCGGCCACGTTGGCAGCGGCGTCCTGCGGATCAGGTCCCGTCGTCGTCGATCGGAGCAAACGAGTTAAACGATTTTCCGTTTCCGTTTACGTGCGCGTACAGTGCGACGTGCTTACCGTACGTTATCATTACATCCGATCACGAAAGAACCACCCGCGATTTCGAGACACTTCACTCGAGCGTCGCATAGAACATTATATAATATTGATCTCATACATTCTACCCTGATCTATACGTATATTTGAATGCATTCGCGGTAAACTCATGAGGGTGGTTTGCGCACCCATTGTCTCGTCACGGCTAAAGTATATCGATTCGTACGGTTTTCCAAAAAATCGGTTTTCGACGATTTTTTTAGATTTATTAATTTCTAACTTAGACACTTGTAATTCAAGTACCTACGTTTGGGATTTATGTATAAGTAGCGAAAAAAAAAAAACCATAAAGCCGCGTGATTTCTGAACAGTATCTTTGCCTTAATAATGCGTATTATCAATCGTATCATTAAATCAAACAACTAAAGGTTTTAACGAATGGACTAAACCTACTGTACCGAACAAAAACTTGGTACCTGACCCCAATCAAGGAGTTATGGGAATGGAATAGCCCAAACATGAGTGGTCTGTACTAAATCGCTTTCTCATAGACCATAGTTGTTATGTTGAAATTATGCACAAATGATGACTCCGGGATAGCTCAAATTGTGACTTCAGTAATCACAGACAAACAGCATTATAATAAAATGTCAACTGAGGACATTTAACCAGGGAATCGAAGAAATCTACGCGATAAAATCGGAGACAATAAAATGGATAAAGGAATTGGACGTGCATTTGTGAATAAACACTCCTAACTACTTTGTTCCAAAGCGGCTATGGTCGGATGATCAAATACTAGTCATTTTTAAACAGATACTATATATTTTTCGTGTATTGTTCTATTGTTGTGTTATTTATTATTTATTATATTTAAATGTATACATTACGTTACATCTTGATGATTTTTTTTCCTAATTTTTGATTTCAATATTAATTTTATTTTTATTTTTATTTTATTTAATTATTATTACTCTTAAGCTAAATTTAGTTTGCTGTAATGTTGATTTATCGTTAAGCTGTACAAATAATAATAATGATTAAAAATAAACTTTGTGCATTGAGTACTACGATTAAAAAACAAAAAAAAAAACCACAAACTATAAACCAACATCGTAAATATCGATAATTCACACATATATTTTTCTCATTACGATTAATTTCAAATCAAATTACATAAAAAAATACCACGGAATGTATCTAATAGAAGATTTTTTCGTAATGTACATTATGTATTGTTCTATGAAAAACAATCATATTGGATGTAAGGTACGTAGCTGAAATCCATACGAAATATGCGGAAAGACGATTCCGTTGCATTTTTTTTATATGACTTATATATAAAAATAGACAACCATCATTTTTACCTAATTTAATTAATATTTGTTAAAATAATTATTAATCTCGTCGGTCACGAACAGATAACCCCTCCCACAATCAATTCTCAACCAGGAAATAAAATCCGGATAAAATTGACCACCACAATTTGTCATACTATAATGTACCATACAATTTTCAAATATACTATATTTTTAAAATGTCTGATCTGTATCACTATATGATTGTATCACTGTACTTATCTGCGTTTTCTAGATTTTTTATTTTTACATTGTTTTCAAACATTTTTCCTCTCGTCTATGGTGATCAGCTGGTCATGTATTTTTTTTATATAAAAATAACAGTATTGGTCAATAGTTATTTGTATTAATTTAAAAAAAAAAAACTATAGAAATGTCAACTAATTGTAATAATAAACTTATAAGATACATATAAGATATAATTTGATTCATTTTTGTTTTTCTAATAGTCCCATTAGCTTCCGTATTCAATTTAAAATTTATACATTTCATATAAAGTTCTAATATTTGCATCGATGTCGCAGATAATTCGAGATGATGATATTAAATCCGATCAAGAAATCTTTAATGTACAACTTGTTCAACTTTCTGAACCAATTATCATAAAAGATGAGTCAACAAAAATTGTAAAAAATAAGGTATTTGTCAAATGTATAATAATTATAATTATTATGATAATTACACTGTAATTGATGTTTAGTTATTGTAAATAAATTTTTGTGTAGCAATCGAAAAATTCTATATTATTCATAATTTCTAAAAAGTTTTTTGTCCATTAACTTCGTACTAAAAATCAAGAAATAATCTTTTCTTAAGAAATCTATGCTATATAGGTACTAAAAGAAAAAAATCAAAATAAATTTCCTTTTTATTCAAGATTAATTAGTAAGTCTTATAGAATTGTACTGATAGCGCATTGTATTTTAGTATTTCTTTCATATTTACTAAAAAGTTATGAAAATCACTAGGTCAAACCACCACGATTACTAACGAAAAGTTGTATTTGCAATTAAGTGCGTAATATAAGGCATAATATAAATTAGTTAGATCATACATTTATAGCATTTCATACAAAAACAAACTATAAATATCGTGATAAAATAATGATTTTAATAAAAGCGCCGTTGTATAATAGTATTATAATAAAATGTTTAAATTTTTGCATGAACCCTAACTACTACAGGTACCCGATGCAACTTTTATATGTAATTTCAAGAATAATTTGCAAATTGAGATTTTAAATTATTTGCGTGATATATTATTATAATATTGAGTTTAAAAAATACTGCGCCATAATTAAAATTCCATTTTGTTCGTATATGTGTACACTGTATATTCGAACGACTGCGAATTAATATCATTGAATATCCATTGTTAGGATCGTTGTGAATATTAGAACGTTTCACGTTTGTTTATTAAGTATTCTCGCTATATAAGTAAAGAATGATCCATTTCCGACAATTATATTGAACCGATAGCTAGAAACGATTTACGTTGTTCGATATTAAGAATTTTTTGGTTCCACACGGACGTAAACGCCAAAGGTGTAAAATCTCCCTCCCCCAAAATATATGGAAAAATTAAAAATTAAATCATCATACCTATCAATGATGTAGCTGGGATTTTCGTAACAGTATATATTAACTATAAATATATTAAATATTATACATAATACGTACAAACTATAACTCTTATTTTAATTAATTAATACGTAAACATTATATCGGTATATGTTCAGTAAATAATAATAATAGAAATAATAGATTTGATGAATTTAAATTTAATGATAAGGATTTTATTTAGGATTAACCATGTTATGGTTTTATTTACAAACATCAATATTGACTCGAATATTGAACATTGATACGGATAAAAAGTATTTAAAGAGATTACATTTAATTTCATTTGAATCAAAAAAATCCATGTACCGATAAAAATTGTTACAAAAAATAACTCGTTACACGTATCTGACGATATTTACATTAGTTATTATTTGAAAGTTTTAGATCTGAAAAGACGATTATGAAAAAATTACGTCTCGTCATAATTAAAAAAAATATTACGTGTTGAGGATCATACACTGAAAATATAACTATGAAAAATATGTTCACAAAATCAAAAAATGTATTTTATTTTTGGTTTGCTTACTTTAATTTATATTCAAGTTTACTGCCCCTTCCTAATTCCAATAACGACATTGAATCATAGTAAAAAAACGCAATACAAAAAAAAAATAATAATAATACAAAATATATATAATATAAATTGTACACGTTTAAATAAGTTATATGAATAAAAGTGAATATTTCAAATGAAAAATATGTACAACGTAAGTAGGTTTATTAAAATATAAGAACAAATAATGTATACATTTTATCTAATACGGCAGGGTTGGTTGTGTTACTAAAAGGTATTTAACTAAAAATAATGAATCTGTGTTAAAATTATATGGCATCGTGTGCAACGAGAGTTCGATTTAAACTGGGGATCATTTTAGCCAGACAATTAAACATTAAACATTATTATATTACAGGAACCAGCTGGTTGTAACGACCACATATCAGGCTCGTCATATTTTTCTCAATTCAATGACGTGAACGTTCTCTCTCAATGAGGAGCTTAAGAATTATTGGTTTATATGAAATGTTATAAAATAAATAAAAATTATAATAAAAAATATTAATGGTTATAAAATAAAAAACCAAATTAATGAGGATTCAAATTATTTTTTCTACATATTGCTACTAAAATCAAAATTTGAGACATTTTTCATTTTTGGTGATAGCAAAAAAAAAAATTCTTAGGTTCGGTGCAGTAAAATTTTTATTTCCGTGCGCAATTCCTCGCTGTATATTATTAATATATTGTTGCTGTTTTTGTTCAAGAAATTCTACTATATAAAATCCCCAAAATATATAACTACCTTAATGAGACCTCTAGTGGCGTGATGTTTTCGTAAGTGATCCGAAATAACGTTTCACAGAATAATTAATTAACGCAAAAAATACTTATATTTGAATTCGTTTGATCTTTTCACGGGCGGCAATAGTTAAAAAAAAAACCAGGTACGCACCCTTGTCTAGCTTTAATCTATTTATTATATAAACGTTAGTACTTCGCATATATATATATACATATAACAATGTAAGCAAAGTCGTTTTAAAAGGAATTCCATTTTTCCGCAGATTGCTTAAACGTCACTATCACCCATTATGCATTGTATGTTATTACAGAACGTTAAGTCAGAATCTAACGAACTCAACAAGGATTATCTGAAAAAGTACAACCAAGTACTTGATGTAATTTTTCCTCCGAGGGAATGGGAAGAAAACGGAATAACATGGCGCCAAGTCACGTCTAGGAAACCTCCAAGTCAAAATGAACATTTAAAACTCAATGAGAACTTTGAGTCACAAATATCATACTGGAATATTCAGACGAAAGGACTAACCCCGATCCGAAAAGAGCTGTATGGACAGTATTTCGGTTAGTAGCAGTAAGATAAATGTTATTATACAGACCAAAAATTCAAAAAACACCATGCAATGCGAATATTACTAAAAAAAAATTCAATATAAAAAAACAATATTTTTTCATAAACATGTATAACAGACTACTCGTATATAGTCACTGCCTATATTATATTATAGTGATTTATAATAATTGCATGACTTCGATGGTCGAGTTGGATTGTACTTGTAATGTTTTTTTTTTTTTTTTTTTTTTTTACTTTGGATATATTCGTTGAGAAATTCGCTAAAATCATATTATTTTTATATCTAAAAGATAAAAAAGAGAGATCTATATTCAACAATAATAATTATACAACCAATAACCTAAACATAGACGATAATTAGTAAACTAAAAATCGGTCTACAAAATTAAAATAGACATTTGATGGCCAAAAAAAATTTATATCATCATACATTAATTGAATGTCGTCAATATCATTGTTATTGAACTATAAAGGGCACCCGGCTACAATGGAATTTAATTTTAACCTAATAAATACTAATAATAATCTTGAATTTATTGTCTCTGTTTAGTTTATTATACGCAATTTTGTTTTTTGTTCGCGGTTTTTATTCACGTTTTCACGTTAATTTAATTGGGTTTTTTTTTAAAAAAATTTTATTTTTTATTTATATTAATTTGTAATATATAGGTATTAATAAGTGAGCGAAAATAATTATCTTAAATTAAATTATTTAATCAAATCACAATTCGATGATCTTATTATTCCATAAATTATTTTATTTTATTTTATCCCGCTTAGTCTTGTTTTAAACATATTCAAACGATTTCGATCAAAATTAATTAAACCGTAAATACTTTATTATAATAATAACAATAATTGAAATGATTCGCATTACAAGATAAACTCATGGTGTACTCATTACGTCCCACACACATTTAAACTGATCTTACAGGACACCAATTGCACACCAAATAGTCTTATACGCCAAAAAAATTCTTAACCATTAAAATTTCAACCATCGCGATGCTTTACTCAAATATACCTTAACCGTATCTAATAATATAAATAAACGGCTGTTGACATAAATCATAATCAAATATTCGAATACGTACATAATCGTCAATGTTATTAGTTCGATAAAAAAAATTAACTACCTTGTTTATGGACTTTTTCCTTATCAGCAATAGTCAATAGGTACCGTGTGCTTGTGTATATTATAATATAATATATTATATTATATTATAATATAATAGATTATTTAAACTATTAATAGTTTTTCAGTTTTCTTTAAAAACCCGGTGGATTCATAAATATCACATTATATTAAAACTAAATATATATGTATATTATAAACTCATTTAGAATTTCACATATTAAAAATCGTTGTAATTTCTTTGTGAAGTTACATTCTCTTATTATAACTAATTGATAAATTGATACCAATTAATAACTTCTACAAAACTATACATATTGTATACACATAAACCACTGTTGCGCGACGTAATATAGATATCGCAACATAATATTTGTTTTATCTATATCTATTTGATGGCACATAGATATTACAATGTGATGTCACTTTTGAGAACAAAAACAGATTTATCATATAATCTTAATCTTAATGCACGTAGGGTGATATTACTTTCTAATTTACATGTTGTACGCAGGGACGGAACTAGGGGGTGGAAGACGGTGATTCATCCCTAGGCGTAACATTTTAGAGGGTGTAATTTTTGTAATTATTAACAACTAACTTGATATTTTTAACTTTGTTAAATACTGTTATTAGGTTAAACTCAATAAGTATGATTGTATATTAATTATTAAAAAAAAATTCTTGAGAAGAGCATTTGATTATTGGTCTATGATAAGGCGTAATTTTAACATTTTCCCCGGGCGTAATAATTCCTTGTTCCACCTCTGATTGTAGGTGTATACAGTATTGTTACATTATTCATCTCCTCTTGTTTCATTTAATTCTAAATCTTATAAACTAATTGTTCAACTCAAAAATAACACTTAACCAAATACTTTAATCTTTGTACAAGTCTTTATCTTTTTCCCGAATACTGTTATTTATACTATAATGTTGGCTATAGAATCTACCAATAAATTTATAATATACTGAGTAATTAAAGGCTGATACTCTAATCAGGAAGCTAGTCAGAATTATGTTAAACAATTTAAACAATTTTGTCACAAAAGAAAGCTGTATATATATCACGTCAAAATATTTATCTGTTACGTTAGATGAACAGATACGACAAGTGTATTTAAATGATGAAGAAATGGGTGAATTATTAATGAGAATAAGAAATGAACTAAAAATAACCGTGGAAGCTTACATCTATCATTTCGAAAATGGTGTCATGTTCAGTGTCAGAAAATCAAAAATTGTAAGTTATTATTGAATATCAATCTGATTCGTCATTATTTTTTTTTGCGTATATATCACAGTACTCAATCACAGTCGTGGTTTCGTCTTTTTTTTTTTTTAATACATTTATAAGTCACCGTCGTTTGAGATGGATATATACGCATAGATGATAATATGTTGACTAAGGATTATGAATGAAGATTTAAACTATCAGATAAGTCTGTAAAATGTATAGCATTGATCAGTGACTACAGGCGTTAGGAAATATTATGTAATTTTAGGCAATCATACTATTTTATATTATTTACTTTGATCTTAACTGAATAAAATAAAATGTTAGAAAATGTAAGAAGTCATAAGTATTTTATAATCATTTTTTCAAGTTTTATAAGTTATTTACATTTATAGTCATTTATAGATGGTAAATTATTGAGACTGAAATGTTAATAGAAAAAATATAAGCAACTGAACTCTATAGTATTTGAAAGATTCTGAATAGGAAACACAGTTAGAACCTTGTATAGAGATCTATAAAACTGTATTTTAAAAAAAATTTAAACAAAAAATGATAAGTTCACTGTAATGAAGATATTCAACCATATGAAATGCTTTATGAGACTGAAAAAAAAATATTTCTTACATTTTCAGTTTTTGCAGTTATAACAATAAATTACATATAGAAAAATTTATTTAAGTTTTTACAATTTTAAAAATTATAATCTATGAACGTTTTAATTTAAAAAATAATCATCATATTCATGAATACAATCAGTTTTATCATAGGTCAAACATTAAATACTTAACAGACAAATGTGTATCTAACAATTTTGAAAATTATAAAAATATTATCGAATGAAATTGTATAACATTTTAAAAACAATTTTAATATTGATAGATTTGCATTGATAAAATACAAACTATAAAATAATGATTTACATTTTCAAAAGTTTATCATACAAAATATATGCATGACTAAAATAAATATTCCTTCCATTCCATTCCAAATTTATTTTTCTTTGAATGAAAATAAAACAAATAAAGTTAATTTGTTTAAGGCGAGTATATTAAATTCATAAATTGTAATAGTTTTTCATATTCTTTAACACTTTAGAATCACTTTATAAATTTATATGAAATGCCAAATCAAATTTGTTATCAAAAAAGTTAAACATTTTAAGAGCTAATTTTTAAATAATTAAAGACATACATAAAAAAATTATCACATTCCTAATCTTGTCTGAATTTTAAAATAAATTATAAAGTTGATAATAACATTAAAATTTAAAAAAATATTGTATAAACATACATGTTTATTAATATATACTAGTATAGTAGTCCAAAAAAGGAAGAAAAATAGCATTTTGGAAGATATGATAGCACTATTGGGAGTCGTAAGATACTTGAAAAAATTAGTTCTTAATTATTACTCAGATCTAATTCTCGATCTTATGAGAAATTGATGATTGTTGTAAATATACTACTCGAAAAGTATTTATTATTATTATTATTATTATTATTATTATTTTTATTACTATTATAGCATGATCAAGAAATGAATGATATAGAAATGGATGTAAAAACTTTGAAAGAAAACAATTTGTCATTGGAAAAAAAGTTAGTTAGTACTAACATTACTCTCCAAAATTATGAAAAATATTGGACAGACCAATTAAATGTACTTATAGAAAAAAACAAACTAGAATTTCAATTCTTGACCAGAAACCATGAGGCATTACAAGTACGTATCTGATGCATAAATATAAGTTCTGAATAACACGTATTCTTAAAGTTTAGAAAAAGAATAATTGAATGTAAAAATATGATTATTTTTTTACAATTTGAACTTTTTCATATACTATTAAAATATTTATTCAATTGTTATTTGTGTTTCTAAGTTCGAAGTATAATGATATTTTGGCTTTAATCTATCTTTGATAGTTCATCCATTTCTAGATACATATTTCATTACATTTTTGTTTGAAATTTAGAAGTATATATGTCTATAATAAATTTATATTTTCCATACAGGTTCAACTCAATACGTTACTCACGCTTAAGTAAAAACTAATTCATTAGAAAAAGTACTTGCGATTTATTCATTTGTCAAGATTTTTTATTACATTTCAAGTACAAGACTTTGTACAATACTTGTAAAATACCAAATCAAAGGTCACCTCATTATCGGAACAATATAAATATCATATTATTATAATATCTATTCAGAATTTTTTTTTTTTTAATTTAATTTTAATAGGCTTTTAACATTAATATATATTTGAATATATTATGGATAATGTTGAAAATAAAATAATTTTGATTCTAAATTGAATCTAACCCATATTATATCAAAAAATGTGTGATTCTCCAAGATTCAATTCGTATAAAAAATGTCTGACCATAATTTTCAGGTAGACTGTAGTATATTATAAAAGATGCATTATGATAAAGTGCATAACATATACTAATTTACATTTCTGCACATATTTTGTTCAGAATTTGAATGTGATGTTTTTTAATAGAAAACTATCCTATCTTCGTGACCCACACTGTATTTATGTACATACCAGTCACCATGTGCTGCGAAAATAACGTGTATTGAATGTGAATAATACGTGAACCGAATCTATGAATATAAATATTGTACGTAAAAATACTGACTTTTCAAATGAATAAAATGACTTACAGCGATAATATATAAGTGAGACAGCTGAAAATATAGCTGTGTTTGGCCGTTTCTTTAACAAAAAAAAAAAAAAACGATGGTTAAGGAAAAATAACAGATAATTTTAAATTTCTATATGGAACAATGAAAAAAAAATAAAAAAAATTAAAGAATCTTAGAGTAAGTGATTTGTACCACATGAAATCATGAGTATAGAATTACAGTCTACAGTTAGACTTTCTCGACAGACTTCTCAGTTCTGTATAGGTTTTCCTAGGAATTCACCACTTCCATAACTCGGCAGTAAACCACGGAGTAGATGTTTATCGTGAGAAAAATGACCATCGATTACGTTGTCGTCAACCGCGGCGACGGCGTGGCGTCGGTGATACGAGTTTAATAAATATTTTTATGTTTTCGTAAAGTTTACTAACCGTCTCGTGACAGTTTTCGGTAATAGCGGCGGTGGAGACGACCACGATGACTGGGATTTGATGGAATTAATTATTTGAATCCCCCCCGCTGGGAGTGGAAAAAAACCTGATTCCACTGGCTTAACAGAAGTAATTCCCACACACAAGCACGCACACATAAGTCATGGGGACCATTCGATACATAAATGGGTAAATGCACAGGGTTTTCAAAATTATTGAGTCAACTATATGACGTAATTGTTTGAAACAAATATTTTGGTCGATGACCAATGTTGTCGTGTTAATATGCAAAACCAACAAAAAAAATGGTATCCCTTCAAAATAGCGAAAAAAACGGCGACTATAAAACGACAAACCAAACGTAGCGAAATCTATTTGGACGAATCCAGATAGTAAAAGCGAATGTACATTACAGACTACATTAATATGAAGATTACAGTATTCGATGTTTATTTCCAGTTTCCACGGGTAGAATAACTATCAGTTAACTGTTGTGTTCACGTATGTGTTGTTCTTAATTTCGTTTACTTATACTTATGTGTGTGTATATATATATATATATATATAAATTATAATATTAAAAGTGTTATTTATTACAGAATATGTTTTCAGTAATAAAAATAAAAATTTAAGATTCATGGCTGTTACACATTCAGAATGGAAAATACTGTGGACAACACCAAGTATTTACGGTGTACAGAACATTACAATGAAGATTATATACTCGTATTCTGTATAGTTGTTACAAATGAGTGAATTACTGAAGGTCCGTCAGATTATTTACAAGTAGCTGATGCAAGTAAACTACTGGCTTGATTCATAATAGAAAAATTGAAAAATTAAATAATACACACACAACAATTACCACAACAAATAATAAGCGCTACGCAAATACTACCTAGAGTTTTGAAGACTAATAATGAAAAATATGGACAAATAATAGTTCCATCAATAAGTTCGATTAAAAATACACTTCATTGAGTTCGCAAAAGAAACGATTGCGTCTTTACCGATCCAAAACGTCTTTTCGATATTAAATTCCCGGACAATTTAAAAATATGAAAAATGGCTACCGATTTCTGTTGTACGATAGTGGTCCATAAAATGATCGAATTATTATTTTTTCTACCCCTGATAATTTAGATATATTGGAACGTTGTGATGATAAATTGGCTGATGGTATGTTCCAAACGTCACCTTTAACTTTTTCTCAAATACATGCAATGGTTAATGAAAATGTTTTTATACTTATGCTTTTCTATCAAATAAAACTGAAGTATCGTAAATGTCTATTAACAACTATAAAAGATAATAAACCCAGGGGCGTCATTTCAATATTTAATAGGGTAGGGCATAATAATGACTGGCCCTATAATTAACACTTTTAATTGTATATAAAAAAAAGGCGCTCGCTCCGCTCGCTAGCTAGCCAAATTTTTATTTTGTACACAGTACACAGTACACACTAAGTCAAATCAAATTCAAAATGAAAAATTCAACATTCGTTGGTCATTTTAAAAATTGTTATTGATAACGAACATTTACAGTGCTATGCTCTTATCAGTCATATCTTTGTCATAGTTACATTACATTATACTGGTTACCACGGTCCACGACGTCAATAGTTGATCTTTTTATCGTGGTTTTTAAACTTACTTTATCATTGAAATAACGAATATAGTTCCATAGAATAGAATAATAAATAATAATAATAATAATAATAACGTATTAATTAATATATTATTATGATATACCACAAATTTCTATTTTTATATTATGTAGTATATTCTAGAATAGTCAGTAGATTTAAGATTATATTGATTATTATAGAAAACCCGGCCCGCTTAGACCCGGCCACTGGCCCATTTGACTACTTTAAAATCTAGGGTCGGGCAAATGCATACTCCTGCCCCTCCCCCCCAAATGACGCCCCTGAATAAACCTAAATTAAATCAAAAATCAGTTATGAAAAACTTCGATTAAAATGTTTTAAATGGATTTAAATATACGTTTCCTAATATAAAACATACCATTATAATTTTACTCAATATATTTAGAGGCACATTCAACAATTTCAAAGACTGCTCACTAAGTTTAAATTAGATCCTAATTTTTCTCTACATATAGGGATGTTGTCGGTCCTCGATATTTAGTCGTCAAACCATGTTATAAACTGTTGGATTCTCCATTTTTATTTTTTTTTTTTTTTTTTGAAAACAAAGAACTTTATAATCCGCTAATTAACTAATTCGAGAATATGTGGATTTGACATAGAGAAAGAAGAAATTTACTGAAATCACCTTACTCTGATACAATGTTGTAAAACTGCTACGAAATTGCCAAACATCAAAGTATAAAAACTTATATTTATATGTATTTGGCATATAGTTTTTTTTTGGGTAAACATTAAGTTAAAATTAAGAATAACTAATTAATGAACTCGTATATATATAAATATCGTAGCATTTATAAATGTGGAAATTTATCCAATTTCTTCAAAACAACAGACCTTGGAAGAAATTAAATTTGAACATACAAAAAAAAAAGAAATACAAAGACTATGTTAAATGGGTTCAAAAATTTGTTAATAAATATGACGAGCATGATAAATTCAAATTTTTAAAGGGAATCGCTTATCCCTTCTTTTATCATATAAATTAATATAATAATAAAATATTACAATTAAACATTTGTTTAAGATAATTTTAAGAACCACTATTTGTTTATTTTTTCAATTAAAATGTTTTCACTGTTTTTTATTGGAGTTTTTTTTCGTTATTTTAAAGTTGAATCCAAAAAAATTATTCATGTTAAACAACTTCCCAGTTATACAGTAAAACGTGACGAAAAGAAATGCACATTTAAAACATGTTTCATATTATCCTGGCTCTGTCTTATAGTTACTAGAAATATATCACTATACATTATAATAAAGATATATTATTTTATTTATTTTTGCATTCGAACTACTAAATGTATTTTTTGATTCAGTAACCTTTCAATGTTATTATTTTCATTGTTCAAAAATTGTTATTTCAATTTTTACTGATCCGTGTTCGAGTCATTTCAGAAATTGTTCTAAACTTCAGACAATATTAAACCGTAACTTTCTGGTGAAATGTTAGTGAAACCGGCAATTTACAATTTCTTGCGCACTTTTATATTGAAGTGTCATTAGTTTGTTCAACTTTAATTGAATGTTTGAAAACTATTAAAATTTTATATTATATTTTTTCTATAAAAAAATAAAAAAAATAAAATATAATAAATAAAACTATAAGTAATTATTAGAACATCAAAATAACTAAACAGTATATGAGCCAAATGTTTAAGGCAATCATTGTGGTCTTGAAAAGGTAAATGAAAAGCATTTTCCAGGATATTGGTTTAAATCATGAGAATTGTGTTTTAATAAATTTATTCAAAATAATATAATAATAATAATTTATACAAAACCTTAAATCTTAATACTAAAGATTAAAAATATTATAAGTTAGTTAGAATAAGAATATAGGACTTAAAAATTCTCTAAATATTTTTTGCAAATACAAACACGTCTATAAAACTACAGATAAAAACCCATGACATATATTTATGTAGCTAACGTATAGTATGTAGAATATATATTTTGAACATTCTGTA